TTACATAGGCATCAACACTGTCTGTTCCTTGTTTGATGTCAAATAACTGTTTTTGCCAAATTGCTTTTTGCTTAGCAATGCTAAAATGAGCTTTAAACAAATGCTTGAAACTTCGGGCTTGGCCAGCATCGTTATTGTAAGCGTTAGGCTGGGGATTCAGGCTGCGATACCAGTCTAGAGCAATACCTTTTATGTATACTGGTGCAAGTTCTAATCGACGAGCATCATTTCAATGATTTGCTTTACAAGCTCTTTGAAATTCTTGGAGCCAGCTGAGTAGGTCCTGGGTTCCATCACCAAGGAAAGGCTCTACTTTGATTAATGTTTGTTTAGGAGCAGTTCCTAAAGCAATAACCAATGCAGTTTCAGCAGTAGCAGCATCTCGTAAAGCTTGATCACCCATATTGGCAGGAGGATTAGGAGGATTGAGATGTGGTAGTAAGGGTAAGGGTACAACAAGAGGTTGATAAACAGGAGGTGAAGGAGGTGGGGCAGTGTAGACAAGGTCAGCTAGATCAATATTTAATTCATGGTCTAAGTCTGGTTCTTCGTCACTAGAATTCCTAGGTTCAAGAATATTTTCTTGATCAAGATGAATAATCCAAGAGGAAGTATCGTTAGTTTCTGGTGGGGTTTGGTGAGTAACTTCTTTACTATATAGGGGAAGGTTATCTTCTAGTTCGTAGAAGTAATGAGTGTCTTCTGGTAAGGCAGTTATGCGAACACTGTCGTCTGTAGAAGTGGCTTGCAAGATAGGGCTTTCTAAATTCTCAAAGAATTGACTAAAGTTTCCTGGTTCTTCAAAACTAAAGGTTTGAGGTTCATCAAGGTAATAGTCGAAGGTGTTTTGGTATTGGAATGGTAAGGTAGGGAGTTGGAGGAGAAGAGTATATCGTTGAAAAAATATAAGGGCTATGTCTCGGGGGTTGGGAAGTGCAGTTGTATAGTGACAACTAAAAATAATATCCTGGATTGCTATATGAGTATCAGTATGATTGGTAGTACTAATAAGTACAGCAAAAGTGCTTGGTCCTTCGAGAATAAAATAAGACTAAGAAGCGAAGGTTGTAAAAGGTCCAAAATCTTCCAAAAGGTGTACGAGGACTTGTTCGATGAGGGTAATAGCAATCAGTGCAAGAAAGGTCTGGGTAGCCTAATTGTAGTACGTCTAAAGCTAAATGTCCTAAGTCTAAATGTGCTCGCTGATGGTTACGAATATATTCCCGATGTAACTTGTTAGCAGTTTGTACCATATGCTAAGAAGGGAGTTGCTAGTATTGCAATTGTCTAAGGTCTACTAAGAAGAGAAAAATGGCTCGCATGCTGGAGACAGATGTTCAGAGATTTCAACAAAAATACAGTTTACATGCTGGAGACAGATGTCCAGAAAATTTAAAAATACGGCTCGCATGCTGAAGACAGATGTCCAGAGAATTCAAAAAAATATGGCTCACATGCTAGAGACAGATGTCCAGAAATTACCGAAAAAGAGAGGTAGAGGAGAGGTGCAGAGAGATTTAATTATATTTCCGCCAGAAGGCATCAAATGTTACAGTACCATGGCCTTCTTAACAGCAGTACTATAACAACGACACAGATACAGGGATCCTTTATAGGTTTATAATGGTGTCCAAGAGATAAGTATAATTCCTTAGTTGTAAGAAACTATACCCTTCTCTCTGAGGCAGTTCAGTAAACAAGAGATGATAGTTTTATACTTTTATCAAAGATAACAAGCCTTGCCTGTAGGAATTACCCTAGAGGGGGAATGTTATATACTTTTATTAATAAGAATAAAGAG